TAGAAAAAGTTGGATCGACCTTTTCAGAGATAGCATAGCACAAAGGCTATGAAAGTGACTAGTGAGCCGCCCTTACAATGAACTATAAACAAAACATCCTAAGGATTCATTTTAAAATATTCTTGTACCCTTGTCTCCCCATTACAGGAAAATGTTGCAACAAGCGAGCGCTTTGCTTTTGGTGCTCCACCACACCCCTCGTTTATCTGACCACTTTGCCCCCTTCGAGTTTGCAACGGAATATTTCTCTGTTTTTGTTTTTTATGTCTAAAGACCTCCTCAATCGCATTGTTTCATTTAATCCTAGATGGTAAGATAACGTATGACGAATTCGTTCTCACAAGAAAATATAATCTAACCTGTATACGATGGAGAAATTTTATAATACATAAGTAATAATTAATGACATGAATAATAATTATTTCATGAATTTAGTTTGAGAAAAGAGAAAGATACATATATATATATATATATATATATATATATATATATATATATATAAGAGAGAGAAAAAATTTTTAAAAATAAATTAATGTAAAATTTTTTTATCACTTTTGACGAATCGAGATGTAATTTAATATGTTTATCTTTTTTCTCAAAATAGATTCATGATATATGTAATAGTTAATCATTATGTATTTAAAAATTTTTCATAAATGATCAATTACTTGTTTGAATATTTACGAATCTTCAATTAGAGATCTGAGAAAATCTTTGAGATATTTGAATGTTATATCAAAACCCCTTTCTCTTTGAGATATTTAAATGTTAAATCAATAACCCCTAATCAGTCGTATTTTGAAAATTCATGAAGGCAATTAGGTCAATCAAGATAATAATTAGATCTTGGTACAGACGAATGTATCCACGCAAAGACATGAGGATATGATGATGAAAAAAGAGGAGAGGGAGAGATAGTGTATAAGAGTGGGCTCTCCACAAAATCCCCCCACCCTCCTTCGTTTTAGTGGAGTCACCCCACGCCTCAACAATAGCTTCTCCTCCCACAAACCAGTGGGACCCACACATGGCCATCCCTCCTGTGTTGTGGGTCCTACCTCATCCTAATTCTGTTGGTAGGCTTGGATTTGCATGGTAAGTGGTAACTACACCCACTAATTGTACCAAAAAAAAAAAGACCCACTAATGCACTGTCCAAAATTAATCCAATCTCAAAACTCCAAAAAGAGTCTTATCTTTCTTTGTCATCTTTTGAGGGGGGGGGGGGGGGGGGGGGCAGCATGATAAGAGGAAACTCTTAGGGCGCTTCTTATGGATAATCTTCAAATTAGGGCGCTTCTTATGGATAATCTTCAAATTAAGACAATCGGTATTCATGTTGTGATTTTTTTGGGTCAAATTTTAACTTTCTTGAGAATTTCAAAGGTGGAAATCACATTTTCAAGTTGGACGACTTGGGATAAAGCTAGTTTTATAATAGTACAATTAATATTTAGGTTATTCAAAAAAAAAAAAAACTCATTTGATTAGATTGATTATGATTGCTAATAAATTTTGTATAATATAATGTTATTGCTAACTAATCTTAAGGTGATCTTGGATTTTGTTATGAACAATTATTGTTATATTTAACTTAATAATTTTAAATTTAATTAAATATGAGATTCTTTTCCTATAATATAAATTTGACTAGTCCCTATATATAACTATCTCCTAAGCTATAGTGAACATTTCCTGACTTATTATTATTGTTGTTGCTATTTTATATTTTAATTTCAACTGCTGAACTATAATGTGTTTTAATTGACAGTCATTGGATTATATTCCATCAATATTTTTTTTCCTTAAATAACATGCCACTTCTCATATTTTAATAAAATATCAAAATATTGATTAAAAATAAATAGAAAACAACCTCCACTAATATTATGATAAAAAATAATTTATTGTATTAAAATTATCATCAAGAAATTATCCATGACAGTTTTATGATTTTTTTTTAATTTTTTGTAAACAATTGATATGCATGTAATATTTAACAATTAAATTGGACAAAATGAGACAAAAAGGTGCCAATCAAAACACTCTATAATTAGAGAGTTGAATAATAATAATAACTCAAGAGGAGTTAATCAAAATATATATTATTCAAGGAGTGTTTAAGAATATACTTTCAAAGTTAATAGTTAGATTAAGGTAATTAGTGATGCTATTATACTATGAGAAAGATCTATTAAAGGCAACAAAGAAATCAAATTTGTGCAGCGAGGCCCCACATTCCACCAACTCCAATTATTTTTTATGAAATAGATTGTTTAGCGTTATCCCCCATTTATGCATAAGGGAACTATTAAGCACATCAAGAGTTGCACGCTTTTTTTTTTTTTTTTTTTGTATAAATATAAAATTCATAACAAAAATTATTTATAGGTTTTATTTTAATGCGAGAGAGATGAGAGTACAAATACTGAATAATTCGTATTATGCAGGCGTTAGTTGTCGATTAGGAGTGTATCATTATGGATCCCACCATTATCCCACGTGGACAGCCTCCTTTCTGCCCACCCTTTTCCCTTATTCGCCCATCCATGTAAGCTATGTTTACATATTATTGTGTTTATAAGTTAAAAAAATTCTTTTTAATTGATCACTATTGTTTCACCTGTGATGTGGCATGAGTCGAATATAACATATAAATTTACTTAAAAAATTATATTTTAATTTAATAATCTATATTATGTGATATAAGCTATGTTTATTACTGTGTTTATAAGTTGAAAATGTCTTTTTAATTGATCACTACTGTTTCACCTGTGATATGCCACAAGTCGAATATAACATATAAATTTATTTAAAAAATTATATTTTAATTTAATAATTTGTATTATATGATGGATCCATCAAAACATATGAAATCAAAGATAAAAAATTTTCCTATAATTTTATAATTTTTTAATTAAGACTTAACTTTTTTTTAATGTTTTTTCAGAATTTTTCTACTAAAAAAATGATTTATCCTTCTTATTTATGAATTCTTAACTAAAAACTTGTAATAATCTAAAAATAAAATTTAATACAAAATAGCAAAAAATATCTTTTTTTAATAAGATTGTGTCAAAAAATAAAATAACAATTAATGTAAAAAACTATATAAAAATAAAAAAATGAAAATTTATTTTTAATTATTTTTTAATGTTGATGAGAAGATTAATTTTTGAAAATATGTACATTTAATTTTTTTTATATTTATAAATAAAATAATCTATAATATTAGAATAAAACTTATGTTTGAATTATTAGTTGATTCCGTAAAAAAAATCATCATTATTAAATTAGTTGTTAAACCAAATCAATTCAAACTTAATATTACTGACCAATAAATATGAAAATTTTATTATAATAATAAAAAAAATTGAACGTTGTACCAATTGACTACATGACTACATGGAGGACGGTAAAGGGAGACCCACCACTCTCACGTCCAGACGCTATCTTCTCTATTGTCTATTTTTCGGTCGCTCGCTCCATCATGCAGGCGTGCATGGCCAAGGGTTAGCCTGTTTGTCTAAATGTCGAGAACTGTGTCAATGTGAGTCCTACAAATGATCACTCCTTTCTTGTCCTGTTTTAACTTGCTCATTCATGTGGCCATTCATTGTTAAGTGTCAACGTATTTAGCTTAAGTGTAATTACCCACATGGAATGTGTCATTAATTGTGAGTCCTACCATGCATTATCCCATGTTAATACACTCTTTTCTGTTGTCCCGTTTCCGCATACTAACTGATCATTTATGCAAGTCATGCATTGCGAAATATTAGCAACGTGCCATTATTATTCCATACAAACACTTTTTGCTCTATTATCTCTCCGAGTACGTAAGACTATGCAAACAAAATTATCAACTACAAAATCTCACTAACATTCGAGCATTTAATACAATGATATTATAAATTTTTTAGGTCTTATGCAATATATCATTGGTTAACTTTCCACATCAATTACTTAGAGGTCCTTTTGTATACTTTCGGTTTTTGTTTTCAATTTTTTTTTTTTTAAAAAAAAATCATTTTGTTTGGTGTTGAAATTTTTTGACAATTGTTAGATTTTTACATTTTAAAAAATATAAAACAAAAACAAACAAGTTTTTTGTTTATGTTTTCAAAGTCAGATAGAAACTTGCTTTTAAACTTACAAATAATTCATACCCTAGTCCCTAGCCATCTCTCTCCTTCCCTTTAGTTCTCTGTTGGTAAAAAGCCCCAGTCATCGCAGGTGATTTTTTTTTTTTTAATTTGTTAGGATATTTTATCATTAAAATAAGATTTTGAATGAATATTTTTTGGCTCAATAATATCAAAAATTAAAAAGTAAATTGCAACTTATTACATTGAAAAAAAAATAAGAAAAAAACTCTTTAATGAATAATCATCTTTTAGATATATATAGCAAATGATTTTGTTACCAAAAATTCATTGGAACTTTTTTATGAAGACTGTCCAAGATATAATTTTTTTTTTCGCATTCCACACACAATCAAGTTTAGCACCACCATAAATCAACAGGAGAAAAATCAACTACGCTACAAGACTTTATTGATAAAAAATCTCAACCATCCAAAATTATTAATGAGTGTCATTCTTTTTTAAGCAACAAAAAATATCCAATAAAATTAGTTTTTTTTTTTTAATAAAGTTTCTATACATGATTTTTATGTGGATATATACTTTTCCTATCCTTTATCCACCTTACTCACTCACTTTTTCTGTAGTCATGCATAGCCCCACCAACAAGCCAACAATAGCAATTCTTTAACTTTGCGCATGCTTCATTTACTACATGCTAGATTTTTGCCATTTTGTAAGGCAACCATATAGCAATACTAATAAAAATGTCCCTTTTTGTTTTTTGAGGTTTTACGGCTATAAAAGGGACCCATTCTTGCAATACCACCCTCACAATTCCACCTTCCGATTCTTCGCCTTCGATATCGCTCTTATCCTTTCGCTCTTTTGTTGTTTTTGGCTTTTCATTTGACTATGGGTACTGAGGCTGTTGAGATTATCTATACAAATGGTTTGACTAAAATCTGTGATGGAATCAGTCAGACTCAAAACGATTCTTCTTGGTTTGAAGAATCCATTGATGAAGATCTCAAATGGTCTTTTGCGTTGAACAGGTTTGTTTGAAAAGCATGCATGCATGCCATCTCAAACTGGGGTGCAACAGCTTTTTCTGTGATCATGAGTTTTAAGTTTTACGTTAGATTTTGTTTTCTTCTGGAGATAAAAGAAGTAGACTCAAATCTTTGTAAATGAAGGCAATCATATTAGTTTCATCAGCCAACTGCACTAATCAATTACAGTAGTGAAACAGACCGGAATCACTTACTGGTTTTTATATATATATATATATTTTAAAGGTTTTAAGAAATTAACTTTTGAATGAACTTTATATCTCTCAACAGCGTGCTGTGCAAAGTGACAAGTGAATACCAGGACATAACGCTTTTGGACACAAAGCGTTTTGGAAAGGTTAGTACCTGCAGCACTTCTGACTTAATTAATTATATCTGGTGTGTTTACGGTCAAGTTTCTTTTTTAGTCTGTCTTCATTGTTAAATGTCCTAATTAAGGAATGATTTCTTGCAGGTTTTGGTGATTGATGGCAAGATGCAGAGCGCTGAAGTGGATGAGTTTATTTATCATGAATGTTTAATTCACCCTGCTCTGCTCTGCCACCCTAAGTAAGTCTAATTTGAAGACGGTTTGCTGATATGTATATGTATTCTTTTCTTTCGTTTTTGAGGTCGAAGCCAAAATCTAAATCACACACATCCTGGGCAAAGAAATCCCATTTGCTTAAAATTTTTAGTTCTTCGATGTGTGGAGGAATTATTCAACATATATCATGTGAATCTTCTTTCTATCTCTTTTTTCTTTTTAATAAAATAAAAATGTACAAATGACTCAAACTCAAATCTAGCAACGGAACAAGAGCATGTCATTGAGCTCCGTATGCATCACTTGATTAGAGGGAAGGAGGAAGAACCAACTTACGAGGTGGGACCCTTATTTTTGTTTCTAAGGGAGCATGTGCTCCAAGTGTACTGAATCATTCTACACAGATTCTGGCTATGATGTTATTCATTTTTCTATTGCATCCTCCTTATTCTTTACCTTCGTGAAAGCGACAAGGAAAGTGGAACTAATTAGTGGCCAACTCTATGATGAACAATAATATTTGGTAAAGCAAATCCTTGTTAATTATTACTATCACATAATTCATTCCAATGACTAATATTTATGTTAGAAGGTGATGACTTAAAGTTTAATTACTTGGGGTGCCAAAAAAAAAAAAAAATGATTGCTTTTTGATTTGTTATATTTTTGCTCAGAGAATGCCAATTTTTTTTTCTTTTTTCAGCCCTCAAAATGTGTTCATAATGGGAGGTGGAGAAGGGTCTGCTGCTAGAGAAGCTCTCAAGCACAAGTCAATAGAAACAGTTGTTATGTGTGACATAGACCAGGTAAATAATCTTAGTTTTGTTTGCGCATATCCACTTGTAAGACAGGTGTACTTATCCAATGTCACTTATTCCAGGAAGTTGTTGATTTCTGTCGTACTCATCTGACGGTAAATCAAGAAGCATTTTCTAACAAGAAGCTTGATTTAGTCATTAATGATGCCAAGTAAGTTCCTTAAATTCTAACCAGATTTTGTTTCCTGAAAAGTCTATAATTGATTGGCAATAGAACTTCAGTCAGTGGTCATACTACTTCATAGCATAGGCCATTAAACAATTGGTCCACTTTTTCTTTCTAGTGTAAACAATTGAAGATGCAAGAATAAAGATTTGTCAGCTTGGAAATGGATTGAGCATTCACTGCCAAATGCGCATTGCATTGCATAATTACTTTTGATTGTGATCTGCAACTACTTATGCTAGAACTTTCTTCGTTGTTGAAGGGCTGAAATAGAGAAGAGAAATGAAAAATTTGACATCATAGTTGGAGATTTGGCAGACCCAGTTGAAGGAGGGCCTTGCTATCAGCTCTACACAAAATCTTTCTATGAGCGAATTCTGAAGCCTAAACTCAATGAAAATGGAATCTTTGTTACTCAGGTAAGAAAATGGAGTTCTTTTGCCTTCAAATTTGACTGCTGTGAGGTAATTGATGCTGCTTCTATTCGAATACTATGTCCATAATATCCAATTTGATTAATATTTCTATTGTGTAGGCTGGACCAGCAGGGGTTTTCACCCACAAGGAGGTCTTCTCCTCTATATACAACACAATCAAACAAGTGTTCAAATGTGAGTCTCTAAGCAAATAGACCAATTATATGCAGTGATTCATAAAAATTATCTTATATGTATCGGTACACACTTATAACCTGCTTCTCATGCTTCTTCTTCCAGATGTGGTTGCATACAGTGCTCATGTGCCATCTTTTGCTGATACTTGGGGATGGGTCATGGTAAGTAAATGCAACCTTGTTTTTGACAGAGATACTCGTGAACTATTCATGCCTTGTATTAAAAAAAAAAAAAAAAAGAAGAAGAGATACATGTAACATATTTTGTTAATTATCTTTTATATATATATGCATGAATCCAGGCATCAGACCAACCCTTCTGTATCAATGCTGAGGAGATAGACAGGAGGGTTGAAGAAAGGATTGATGGTGAATTAGTTTTTCTGAATGGTGCTGCTTTCCTCTCCTCTGCCACCCTGAATAAGGCTGTTTCACAATCGTAAGTTCTTTTCTTTTATTATTCTCCATAACTCAATTATTTCTTAGTGATTCCTCGGCCTATTGAATTTTCAGCATGCCTGTAAGAAAGCAATGCACTCTTTTATCATTTTTTTATTTTTTGGGTGAATTCATTGCCTAATACTTGACCACAAGCTAATTATGATTGTTTTATGTCTCAGGCTGCTGAATGAGAATCATGTCTACACCGAGGATGATGCAAGATTTCTTCATGGGCATGGGGTGGCTAACAAAAATTGAGGCTTCGGTCGTTTGCTGGTGGGCGAGAGGGGGAATTGCTGTATAAGGCAATTAAAAACATATATTTCAAATGTCTCCAAAGAAATCAATCCAATAGCTGTTAGAATTGTTTGCTTTTGAGTTTTGACAATAGTCATATAGTAGCTTCATTGGGGTGTTCATAGGACTCAATATGGCAAACCATGTGAAACCTTTATCTTAATTTAATGAATTACGAGGCATTCCTCCATTCAGAGTGGTTTTTCATTGATTACTTCCTTTCTCCATATATTTTTGTAAATTGAGACACAGATAATGCTCTTCGCTGAAATGGAAATTAAACATAGTATTGAAATATACATAAACTAGAAGGCGTGAAGAGTCCTAACATAATCCAATGAAATTCGGGGAAGAGTAAAGACCAAGAAATTTGAAAGAAACTTCCAAGATTCTATTCAGCTTCGTTTAACTGGATCAAAGTTGGAAACTCCAATAACAGCTCCGATAATCGCAACAAGCACGACCCCACCAGCAGCAATGCTGAGCAAGAAATTGTTGAGAGATGGGGTTACGCCAGAACCTGCTGCCGCTGCTACCTCTGGTATCACCATTGAAGCTGTCAATACAGCTGCTGTTAGTCCTGCCACTGCCTTCTCTTTTAAGGAGGCTTGCACTTCAAGCCTGCCTCTACACTTGGGCTTTATAGAAAAAACTGCTGCCTTTGATGGCCTTATAGGTCGTGGCTTAAGGAAGGATTGGGAGTTGGGTTGCTTTTCTAACCTCTTCTGGGATGCTGAAGTTAGTGGCACAGCCATTGAAAGTGAGGCCATATTTTTGTGTGCACTAGTATGATTCTTTTGTCTTTCTGTCCTCCTAGAGAGAAATTGTTGGTGTAAAAATTCAGTGTTGGTTAAGAGAACTGAGGATTAGACAGCTTGGATATTGGATAGAGAAGATGAGAGGTGGAAGATCTAGATTTTCAGCTGATGTCACTTTGAAGTGATCCTACGTGGCTAACTCTCCACTGGATTTGCAGGATAAGCTTATCTACCCACTAGCTTGATTCATGGGAAACAAGGTCTTAAGGTGGCTAGCATATTGAGATAAGAGAATCTTATGGTGTAGTACATGCACAGATAAACTTGTCCTAAGTTGATTTGTTGCAATTACCATAATTATCTGTGACGCCATTCTTCAATTTCAGTGGGAACTTCTGATGGCAGCAGTTGTAGTTGGAAGGGAAACATTGAAGATGTGAATATAGACATGTCTGTTGAGACAAAAAAAATAAGGATTTGAAATTCTAACTTATCACTGTATGCAAAACCCAATTTAATGGAAAAAAAATAAAAATAAAAAACAACATAGATGGATAAAGAGTATATACATAAAATTTAATGTAATTTGACAATCAAAATTTTACCTACTTCATAAAACTCGAGAGTAATTTTACACTATGAGAGAAAATTAGTATAAGAATATGATTGTAATTTCTATACCAAATTCAATTTCAGTGGAATCCTTGTATTTTTTGCACACTAAAACTACACATCTTCTCAACTATTTATAATAGCTAAAACCTCTGAATTCTTGGTCAACAAGAAATCTTCTGTCATTACTCCATTCTATTTACTTAGGCATTAATTTAAGAAATATGAGTTATAAGCCCAACAATCTCCACATTAGCAAATATTCTTGCCATCCTAAAGTTTATTGGTTCCACTTGTTTGCAAATATCGTAAATAAAAAAGTAGCAATAATCATTAATCTTAAAATTTATCAACTATACATGACATAAATCAACAAACAATCTTAAACTCTTCATGATTCAAAATAATGATAATAGTAATGACTAAATAAATAATACAATCAATGTCTATGTGCGATAGCAATAATCATTGATCTTAAAATTTACCAGCTATACATGACATAAATTAGCAAACAATCTTGAACTCTTCATGATTCATATGATAATAATAAATAAATAATACGGTTAATGTCTATGTGTAGTCATGTCGAGTCAACTTTACTTGTTAACTTTAAGAAAGATTCTCAATCCATCCTCTTTCCTAGCAGGATCTTGTTGGTTCCGTAAGAGCATGAATCACTCAAGTAGTATAAAAAGATATCATTCTCACGAGGGCTATGTTTTATCTATCAATTGACTTGGCTTTGATTTGTTTAAGATTAACAAGATAAAGACGATATATATAAATCAAATAAGAATTCAATAACATAAACAAGAATTGAAATTACTAGAAACTTAAAGAAATTAATCAAGGTTTAATAGGCTAGAAATTAACACTATCCACATCCTTATTAGTCTTTCTAATGGGTTCAATACGACTAAGGCTTTAGATATCCAATGGTGTTAGTTATTTTTTCTCAAGCAACAACTAAACTATCGACTTGCAAATAAACGAGCGAATTATAGTTTCTCAACTAATAACCCCAACCCAAATCACTTCAATCAATTCCTTAAGCAATCTTCCAAACAATTAATCAACAATCACGATCTTTCGATAATTATCAATTAACTCGATGTTTACTAGTCTATTATGCAACAATTCTCATTGAAACATAACACAAGTCATCCAATTCAATTTCTCAATTGCAATTAGAGCATGAAGAACAATAAACATCGCAAAGCTAAAATTAAACCCAAAAGATTAACATCAAAGGAATGTTTCAAGAGTTAATCCCTAATGAAAATTGAGCAATCCATCATCATGATTGACAATAGCACAGTAAAAATAAATCGAGTCATGAAACAAGAACAAAAGATGAAGGACAAAAGAACTCTTGAATGTTGCTATGAAATTCTTCTAATCTTCTTCCTTGATTTTTGGGCTCCATTTCTTCTTCTTTTATTTTTTTGTTTCTTTCAATCTTTTTTTTCTCCCAAAAACCATCTCTTCTCTCCTTAGTCTTATGGTCTTTTATATTCTTCCAATTACCAAAAAGAACGACTCATGGTTGTCCTCGCCATAATGTCACTGAGTTACGGTCATGCAAGGTTGATCAATCGTGCATTCACTAGTTCTAGCGGCTCATTGTTGTGACCGTACAAGGTCGCATGGTCGTGCATTAGGCGGTTAGTACATTTTTCGAGATCCAAATGTCCCCAACCTGTAATGATCACCATAAAAATAGAGAGTAACGGCCCAACCCACTTCTTTAACATTTAAAACAAAAATTATACATTCCAATGATCATTAAAACATAAAGTAACTCCTAGGCACAATTAATATCATAAAAACATACTTAAAGACACATTAAAAGTACTCATTAGATCCCTCCCCTCACACGTGCCTAAAACCTAAGAATATGTAGTTTTTGTTTCTTTTTCAATCACTAAATAGACTCTTTTTAGGTAGATATTATTTTGTGCACTCGATTCACAACCACTCTTCGAGGTCATTGCCTTCCCAATGAGATGATATAAACGATCACACTTTTCTCATTTTATTAGGATTGTGCCAACATCAAATTGCACCGGTAATAAAATAACTATATCATTTGGAGTCTAACTGATTTAATGAAATTAGATTTCTATGCATTTTTGGAACATCTCGTCACACCATCCAAAACATAGACTACGATAGAGATATCAATTGCCTATGCCTTGATTATAGAAGATTATGCAGCTATAATTCTTTAGTTGTACATATATAAGATTATTTTTTTATAGCTCAAATAATAGGAAATTCGATTATATATATATATATATATATATATATATATATATATATATATATATATATATATCAAGGAGAATGTATGTAATTCTCATTATCCTCTCACTAATATGGTATTAGAGCATGTTATTCTCTAAAAACGAAACTCGACCATAAGCTCCATTGTCCCTTTTTTCTTTCCTCTTTTTGCATATGTAATAACTCGTGGTAAAAATGAGATTTAAGATAGTAACTTGTATATTTTTAGAATTAAAAATGTATATAAGATAATTTGAGTATTTTAGAATTTTATTAAGTCGGATAGATCATAGTAGTGAGTATTATGACGTTTGAATAGAAGTTTATATATATATATATATATATATATATATATATAGCAAGCATATAAAGAAAAAAAAAGGACACCTTGTTGTCCCTTATTTTTCTTTCTTCTCCCCTCTCTTTCTCACTCGAAACTCTCTCTACTTCCTCCCATTTCCCTCCTCCAATTTCTAAGTTAAAATCTTGTCCAATTAATTTAGAAAAATCATAAAACAAGTTGATTTAGGTGGGGTTTAGCTAGATTAAAGCTTAGAAGGCTTGGAGGGTTTAGGATTGAAATTGAGGTTGAAGAGCCAATTGTCAAAGGTAAGAAATTTTATCATATGGTTTTTAAATTAAGATATTTATAAGTATTTATTGATGATTTTAAAGTTGATTTGTATTGGGTTTGTTGTTGGAATAAAAAACCGAGTTAGGTTAGGGTCGAGCTTAAATCAAATTTAGGGGTTGATGGTTAAACAATTAATTATGCATCAATTAATTGATGCTTGAAATGTGATAATAGTGATGTAAAATTGATTATTGGACTATAGGTTTAAGAAATGTTCAAGTTAGTTGAAGATGATGAATAATAAGATATGAAATTTTGTAAGGTTGAAGATGATGAATGGTAAAATTCAAATTTTAGGATTTATTGGTTAATTGTTCAAGTAAAGAGTTTAATTATGAGTTTATTAATTAAAGTGAAAGATTTATTATGGATTATATAGGTAAGTTCTATGAATAAACTAAATTGAGAATTGATGATGGACAATTGGTTGTATTAAAGTGTAAATTAGATTGTTAGAGAAAGATAGTTGAGTGAACTTGAAATATAGTTAGGTAATTGTTTAGAATCGATCGAGAGAGTAAGAGTTTAGTTAAATTCATCGTTTTGAATCTTTTCAATCAATTTTATTCTTATAAATTATCTTGTATTCCAATTTTTAGAGTAATTCATTTGTTTTGAATTATTCTTTGATTTATGATAATGATGATTATTTTACCATTTTGTATCATTAAATTTTTTGAAGCAGATGACTTCATCTTAACAACTTTGTTTTTTTTTTTATTATTTAATAATAATATAAGTGGAGAGTATATAGCATATTATATTTTTAAATTCCTTCGATATATCCGTCATGGATCATTGATTTAACTATGACATAATCATATTCATCGAACTTAAATGAGAATGGACCCCTTGTGCATTTGAAATGATTTAATTTTGAAAATGGTTTGATATGATTTTAAAAAGGGATTTAAATATGTATTTGAATAAGTGTTTTAATTAAAGTTTGATATATGTTTATGAATTGCATTATCAAATCCGATTTTGAGCATGCATTGTATTTGATATGTTGGATTTAGTCATCTTGGAATATGTATAAGTTTATGTATTTTTTTATTGATTTAGTTACCTTGGGGTACCCAGCTATGAAGGGGAGGGGTAGCCTATGAGCTCATTGATACGAAAATGTGTAGTACCAACCCGTGTGTCGATTAACATGCAATATACCTAGTCATGAAGAGCATGGCCTTTGGGCATTTATATCTAATGATATGTTATGTTTATTTCACCCCAAGTGTAAATTTAGATACTTGATCCGATTTTATTATTTTGTACATAGATTTGATGTTTGATATGATTTGAATTTAAACTATTCAAGATATGATATATGATTTGGTAACTATAATATGTATTTGATATTGAGAAATAAGTATTGAATCTTGAACGAGTTTTAAATTATCATTATAAATCTATTTTCTTCCTTAAATATGTTATATAGTATCTACTCACTGAGTTGTTGATTTGC